CTTAATCTCAGGCGTATTTAAGCAAATGTGCACTTTGCAAAAATTCATTAGTTGTGTACTTTAATGTGTATATTTTATACTACAATAAAGATTTAATGCAAAAAGAAAAAGGAGGTTCTCGGGGTGCTTTAATTATATTCGAGAATGATACCTGGCATTCAAAATTGTTTGTATAAAATCGGCACTGGGAAGTGCTTGAAATCAGTTTATGCCCCTAAGTAATTCAAGGACCCTGAGAAGTTTATGTATACTATCAATGAACCCAGAAAGTTTTGTGGAAAAGAGAAAAATTAAATTTCAGCCGATTTATTCAAGTGATCGTAAGTTTGAGGTATGTCCATTTGAATACGTTTTGAAAGTTTCTCATTTTCAGTTATGATGCGGTTCTTTTTCTCCATTGCATGGGAGCGTACCCACAGGTTAACTGTGGAGAGAGCAATGTCAGTGTGTATGTGTGTGATTGGTGGGCTGGACAGGGAAATGAAAGGAATAATAAATTCCTTTATTAAGAAATAAATAAATTTAAAAAGTAGTAAAAGGAAACTAATCTGAGCCTAATCTCATAGGGTAGGGAAAATCTTTGCATTCTTAGGATATTGACCTGAGAACACCTGAGAGAGAGACAAACTCTTCCATGAGATGGGCCCAGGCACTATTTCTAAGGCTGGTCAGCCTTAACCTAATTCCATTCTCTACCTTCTCATTCTGTTCCAAGCCAAGGAAGTCATACCATTTCTCAGTGAATGTAAATGAAAGATCTCTCCGTGATAAATAAATCAGGAAAACACACTGGCCCCCACTTATTGTAATCAGCATATACAAAAGTCATCTAAATGTGAAATAAATGAAGTAAAGACCAATCTTCTGAATGAATTTAATGCAAAAATCTTAAATAAAATACTAACAAACAGAACAGTTACATTAAAATAATAAGATGTCATGACCAAGTGGTATTCATTTTAGCAATATAAGGATGGTTCAATATCAGTGAATCTATTACATAATTCATAGTATTAATCAAACTATGGAGAAAATAAAATCATACAATTATCTTGAAGGGTGCCGAGCATCATTTGATAAAATTCAACAACCATGCACGAGTTAAGATACTTTCAGTAAAGTAGGGTTAGATGGCAATTTCCTTGAAGTGTTTAAATATATCCCAGTCAACCCAGAAGCAAGCATCATGCTTAGATGGGAAAACATTCTCCTTAACGAGGTGCATTCTCATTAAGGTTAGGAATGTCATAAGGAAACCATTATCACCACTTTTAGTTAATACTGTTCTGGAGATTCTAGAAACCAAAGAGACTAAGGAAACAAAATAAATTAGAGGTATGCGTCTTGTAAACAAGAGGTAAAATTATCATTATTTACAGATGTTGGGATTGCATATTCAGGGAGGACGCGGGGGGAGAAGCCACGGGAAAGCTTTCACAAGCAAGTAGAAGGCAGCACAATGGATGGGCAAAAAGTATTTATACGGAAGTCAATACATTTCAATAGAAACAATACAAACAATACATTTCAATACAAACAATAGGAGAAAGATATATCAAAAGATCTTATTTACACTAGCAATAATAAAAACGAATACATTATAATAAACTTAATAAATATGCAAGACCTGTCTGATGTAAGGTTTGAAATATTCTGGGGGCGGTGTCATAAAACAGAGAGCAAATGGAAAGGCAATTTATACCATAAGGTTGTGAATTCTTGCCAACTTACTTTGTAAACTTAATGCCATGAAAACACTCATAGGATCTTTTTTTGTACATACACAAGCTGAGGCTAAGTTCAGATAGAATATCAAACAAGGAAGAAGAGCCAGGAAATTTTGAAAGAGAGGATCAATCATTGAATACTGTTCCTATCTGACAGTACATACATAAATTTAAAAGGGTATAAATATATAAAGCAAAATAATTAAAACAGTGTGGTACTGACACATAGGGAGATCCATCCAAGTACAGGAATTTGATACATGACAAATACGTCATTTCACATAAGAGAAAAGATGGATTAGTCACGAAATTATTTTAGAATAACCAGGGAGACAGCTTAAGACAAAACGAAACCAAAACAGGGCTGGATCCACACCTCACATTTTATATTAGGATTGTTTCTTGATATAAATATTGAAATGTAAAAAATTAAAAACAAACAAGAAAACCTAAAAGATACTGTAAGAAAATTCTTTTCTAAAACTTGGAAGAAGTGCTTTCTGAACTATTATATAAAGGCTAGGAGCCATAAAATGAAAAACTGCTTATAACAACGATATAAAAATAAAACTTTTATGTGACAAAATCCACCATAAACAAACAAGAGGCTGGAAAAAAATATTTGTAATTCCTGTCACAACAAAAGGGCTAAATTTCCCTTTTAATAGAGTCCCTTCACATCATTAAGAAAAATACCAACAGTACAACAGAAAACTGGATAGAAGAGATAATAGGTCATAGAAAAGGAAATATAAATGACTTTTTAAATTGAAAAGGTACTCAGTCACCTATCACATTGGTAAAGATGAAAAAAAAATCGGATAGCCCATTGGTTAGTGCAAGTGTCGAAACACCACGTTCATATTTTGCTGAACCGGCACCATTTTGATGGCGGATTTGGCAATCTCGATTAAAATCCCTGATTCACATATCTGTCGTTCCAGTATTTCTACCTCTACTACTCCACATATGCCAAATGGCCTAAGTTCTCAGTTAATTACAACAGCACTGTTTGCAGTAGCAAAAGATCTGCAATTGACTTTCCATCCTGGGGGCCTGGCTACCTAAATCCACATCTACACCTGTGCAGAGATCCTGTGCAGCTATAAAACAAAGGAGAAAGGTCTTTATGTGCCCTCATGCAATGATCTCTAAAATAAAATTAAAAGCAAAACACAAAGTGTGTACGATACACTAGCATACTACCTTAACGTAAAAAAAGAAACAAATATTGTTATTTATAAAATTACTCTTATATGCATGAATTCTGTCTGCAAGAATGCCTAAGAGGTTGATGATAACATCTGTCATCAAGGATAGGACCTGGATGGCTCAGGGACAGGGAAGGGAGATAGGACTATTTATTTTGTGCATTTTATACCCTTTTATTTTAAACTACACGAATGTACTATCTATCAAAAAGTGCACAACACATTAAAGTTTACGATGTGATATAAAGGGTGTAATTAAACTCCAGCCTGTTTGTGCCTATCCTGAGCTTGGCTGAAAATAAAGTCTCTTGTTAATCTGTACAGCTTTCTGATTAAGGCACCAAAGAAGGAAATTAATTTTTTGCTTGAAAACTAAAGTTCCAAAATAAAAGTTAAAAAAAGAAAAAAAAGTTAAAAATAAATAAATAAAAACAAAGTTGCTCAAGAATAGGGACAGGAGAATCACAGTTTATTTAAAGCCATCAACCAAATATCAACAATTAAAAAAAAATAAATCATGTGTTTCAACTGTCTCTAAAGATACATACCAAAACTTTGGCAAGGAGGAGCGGGACAGAGAATATATGTTACTTTCTAAAAAATATATTTTCACATTGTCAGATTCTTCCAATTTATTAATTAATTCAATCATTTAAAAATTATAATCAGATTTAAATATAAAAAGCCTAGGTTTCCATTGTTAACCACATATATAACTGTTTTTAAATAGTAATAAAAAACCTAAGTTTAAAAGAGGCACCATATTTTGACTAGTAAAACAGCAATATTTTTAAAATATGAGACTCAATACAGATGACGGTATAGCGGAAAAGGTACTTCATACATTAGTGGTGGGATATAAACTGTTACCTTTCTCTCGGTTTAATTGAAACTGACAACATGCAGTTGTAAGAAATAACACAGAGAGGCCCCATGTATCCTTTATCCATACCATTAAGAAACAATGTTAGTGTAAATTAAGAAAAAAAAATTTGCATCTTTAATCCAGTAATCTCATTTCTTGGAACCTATCCTAAAAAAATAATTCAAAGGAAAGAAAAACCTATATGCATAAAAAATGTTCGTTCAATACCACATATATAAAATATAAATATATTCATAGGCATAATTTAAACAATAAACAGTTTGGGGACACCTATAGGGCTCAGTTGGTTAAGGGTCTGACTTCGGCTCAGGTCACGATCTCATGGTTCATGAGTTCGAGCGCCGCGTCGGGCTCTGTGCTGACAGCTCAGAGCCCGGAGCCTGCTTCAGATTCTGTGTTTCCCTCTCTCTGCCCTTCCCCTGCTCACACTCTGTCTCTCTCTCCCTCTCAAAAATAAATAAACATCTAAAAATTGAAAAAACTGTTTTATTATTTTCTAGATAAAAATAATTTATTTAATGAAGTAACATATCCACTAGTGTTAATAACATTCTACTGCCATTAAATCACATTTATGTAGACTATGTGTGACTGTCATAATAGTTATGCTATATTGTTGATTAAAAAAATACAATTTGGGGGCACCTGGGTGGCACCTGGGCATCTGACTCTTGATTTAGGCTCGGGTCATGATCTCACAGTTCATGGGATTGGGCCCCACATTGGGCTGTGCTGAGCATGGAGCCTGTTTAAGATTCTCTCCCTCTGCCCCTCTCCCCTGCTCATGCGTACATTCTCTCTCTCTCAATCTCTCTCTCTCTCTCTCTCTCTCTCTCTCTCTCTCTCTCTCTCTCTCTCTCAAAATGAATAAATAAACTTAAAAAAATGAAAAATACAATTTTGGGGGTAAAACTTAGTAAAAGTTGCCATACATGGATAATGAGTGAGAAAGTGGTGAGATTATGGTCGATTCTTTGTCTCTTTCAAAACTTTCTGTAATGTAATTTCAAATTCAATTTCTCCCCTAATTTTTCATGTTTTTCAAATTCAAGTTTTCCTACTTTTGTCAGAATTTAATTTGGGAAGCAAAAGAAAGGGAAAGATGCCCGTTGTTAGTCCAGTAAGAATGGTTAAGTGCCCAGCACGAACTGCAGACTTTTGTTAGGAAAGAGCGACTTACTTGCATCTTTGTCTGGAGAAGGATGGACCCTCTGCTCCAGGCAGGTGCTAGTGAAAGGCTGTGCCAGCTTCTCCAGGGGCTGGGCACTGTCCACGGGCTCCCCTTTGCCCCTGCGGATGCTAAAGAGGTCCTGGAGGTCCTTTCTTTGTTTGGATTCTTGGAAGAAACTCTCAAAAGATTTGTCTTTGAGTCTGAGTGAGGAGAAGAGTGAGATCTTCCTCTTTGGAACCCTGGAAGCATCTGGGAAGGTCTCCTGCAAACTCACTTTCTCAAGGAGTGTGGGGACATCTTCCATCTTGTGGCAGGATGGGGACACTAATGCAGGAAACACCTTGGATGGCCGGTTGGGCAAACTGTGGGTACGGAGGGCAGGGTCAGGAAGGCGAGGGTGCGGAGGCTGGGCAGCCCTGGCGGGTGGGGAGCCCCAGGAGAAGAAGGCTGAGGTCCTGCGTGCCATGTCTCTCCCTGGGGACTGCTGGCTGCAGTCTTTACCGGAGCTGGTTTTTCGAAGGCTGAACGAGGGAGTGCAGGAGTGTGGCTGGGTGGGGGGCAAGGGCTTTGATTCTGGCTTGGTGGAGTTGGGGAGGATGGGCTCCAGGGACCTTCGGATGGCATTTGCTATGAGCCGAAGTGGGGACTTGGGTGGAGGGACGCTTGGCTCCCCTGGAGCCCGTTCAGCTGGGGTCCCCGTCTTCTCCTGAGCCTTTCCCTGGGCTGGCGGGGTCTCTCGCGCTGTCCAGGGGAGCAGCAAGGGGCTGACTGGTTTCAGCACATGGCCTCGTCGACCACTGTCAGCACTTTTCTGGGCAGGTTGTGCTCCAGCTTCCAGGCTCACACTCTCAGGGAGGGAGTCATTCCAGTCCAGCAGCTTTGTCTTCTGCTCCGGGGTGAGGACTAACTTCTTCAAGCCCAGCCTTTTCCCCTCTGTCAGCTGTGACCCACCCTCCTCTCTCCTTCCGGATTCTGTTTTCCTTTCTCCTGGGTCCTCTCCAGCCCCGGGGGATAGCTCTTGGTCTGGCAAGCACCTGTCCTTCCCTCCAGCGGGGTGTGGGCCTCTGTGGATGCTTCTGGCATCCCCAAGAAGGGACTCTGTTTCCTGACACCCATCAGAAGCCGTCTCTGCAGGGCTGGGTGTCTGGGGCCTCACCATGCAGTACTCCGCCCGCTCCAGCACTTGGTCATGAGGCAGATACAGGTGCATGTCCTTGGGTGCTGCCTGGGCTCTGGCGCGCCTCAGAAAGATTGGGGTAGAAGGGCTGAAGTGACCTCTTGAGACCTGCGAGGGCAGGTTGTAATCTATCACCTAGAGGAGATGGGCAAAATCAATGGGTATTTAGGGATTCCCAGCATTTATTTTTATGGGGAGGCATTTCTCAGCCCATGTCCCCCTCCCTGCCTCGCTTCAGATCTCCAAACTCCAAAGTAAAAAAGAATTCTGCCTAGGATGATTTCAAAGGGCCACTCTTCATTCTAAGTGGCTGCCTTGGGACCTGCTGGGATCTGCCCGGAGCCCTGTATCAGCAGTGATCAAAGGCTTTGCTGGGAGCTGGATTAGGTGGGTCGGAAGCCAGAATGGAAGGTGACTGCACTGACCAGATCCTGGGCCAGCCAGCCAGCCAGGTAGAGCTGGCCTGGCCTCTATGTGTGGCCAGACCAGATGCCCCAAGGTGAACTTAGCCACGGTTCCTACTAAGGGAACATTCCACCCGTAGATAGGTGTGTTCCTCCAACAACCGAGAGGCCAAGGCTTCTTCCTTGGAGACTATTAAGCGAAGGAGAGACAGTTACCCTTCTGCGCTGGAGCTGTGGTGGCAGAAAGATGGCCGTTGGGACTTTCCACTGACCCTTCTAGAAGTGACTCATGCCTTGCACCACTGAGAAAGTAGCCATTTGTAGCGAACAGGGACTTGGCCCCTTGGCAAAGGAAGAACGTAGGGACATTCTAGAAGTGGCTGTGCCCTGCTAAAAGCTCTGGTGCCTAAGGGCAGGTCATGGGACAGGGGCTTGACAAGAGCACGTACCTTGATTTGTCTTGTGCACTCTACTTCCCAGAGCCCAGACCAGGGTCTGGCAGGTAACAGAGGCTTGATAAACTCATACTGAAGGATACAGTTCAAACTTGAGTATCTCAGTGATGTCCTTTTCTGTTCAAGAGGGATGGACCTCCAAGAGGCTCAGCTGCTGTCAAAGGCAGCCTCAGTTCTGTGTCTGCCATCCATCAGCTGTGAGCTCCTCAACGTTCTCTGCCAGGCCCTCAAGGGCAGAGCAGATGTTCTAGCATCTCTGCATGCCACAGTCCTGCCCAGAGTCCATGCCCCACAGAGTCTGCTGAGTGAGTGGCTGTGCCCTGGGGCTGGCTGAGAAGGAGCAGGATGGATGAGCTTTCATGAAGGGACAAGTGAAAAAGGCCTGGGTGGGCATTTCTCGGCCCTGGCTTTGCACTTGGGGGACCTCAGACTGCTAAGAATCCAGAGTCAAGGGCGGGGGTAGGAGGGGCACAGGCAGCTCACCTTCCTAACACCGGGGCAGGGCCCCAAGGGGCATTTACCTGAGGTGGGGAGAAGACATCCAGGACATTCCCTGGGACACCGCCTGAAGACAAAGATGGAGGAGAAGATGAAGAAGAAAACAATGAGGAAGAAGAAAGAGGGGCAGCTTCCTCTGAAGGTGACATGGTTCTTCTGTTGTTCACCGGTGTCGAACCTGCCAAGGAAAGAACATACTCTCCATTACAGAGATGTTTTTTATGTTATTTTATCATGAAAAGGTGGAGGTTTGAAGAGAAGCTCCAACTCGATAAACACAGCCAGAGGGTGGAAGGTGCTGGAGACTGATTCCGAGACTCCAGTGCCCAGAATTTGACCTTGGAGGAATGGGTGCAGGAATGACAGCCTGTGGGGGAGAGGAGGTCCTAGGACAAAAAGTCTAAGAACCATTGCACTTCTCACTCCCATGAGAACGTTCCTGAGATATCTTCAGGGCGTTTCTTGGAAATGGACGGCTACCTCTGAAGTTTCCCCCAAAGCCATTGTGGTTGGCATCTGGACTGCGTTAACTCACTTGGTCAATAAACCATCTGAGGCCTCTTCCCACAAGATGCCTGGCCATTAGCTGTGGGCACGGACAGGGTAGGTAGTCACTGCTAATGAATCGGGCTCTTCCTTCTCACATGGGCACCAAGGGGCTCTCAGGATGGTTAGTTTGAGATTTTGAGAGAACACTAGGGAGGGAGGTTATAATGAGTATCAAATCATTTGAAGCATATAGAGTGGGGTTCATGCCAAGTTCCTGTTGGTCAGGGAACAAACGAGATGCAGTGTATGTGCTCAGACAAACATGAGAAAGGAGTGTGGCCAGGACCCTGAGGATCAATGAGTCAATGAGTCTGGTAATGGCAGAATTGTGACAGTTGTAGCCTATAAGATCCATCTCTCCCTCTCCCGAGTGCACACACGTGTGTACGTGTGCACAAATATGCCCTCTGGTAACCTTAAATCTAAAATCTCGAGGGCTTTGCTTCCACATGGGACCATACCAATAATATGTCCTGAGAGGGATTCAGAAAATGCCATGCTCCCTTTCATATTTGTCCACTCTGTGTCTGACCCTTCAGCCCAGGCAGCTCTCCTGTGAACCCTTCCAGCACATAGAGTCTATCCCCCAGAGACCTCCCAGGACCAACGTCTCTCAACCACTCCTGTCAGATTCCCTGCTTCTGGCTGCTCAGCTGACCCCTTCCTATTTCCCTCCGAGGTGTCCAGCCTTCAGATGTTAGCTCACTTCCTAACTCAATACAACCCCCTGGCCTCAGTTTCCCCATAGCATTGGGTGAGACACTCCTGCTCTGGAGCCCACACAGGCCAGGCCAAACCCAAGCCCCACCCCCAGAAGAGTTCTTTCCAGACCCATCTGCATGGGGGAACTACACGGGGCGGGGATGGGGGGGGTTCTTCAGGATTCTGTCCTGCTTTCCTTGTACACAAATGTGTGTCAGAGTGCGTATCCCAGTCCTGGGCTCTGACACGACAGTCACTACACACACAAGTTCAGCAGGCTTCCAAAGCGAAGCCCTCCAGCATGCTTCTGAGGGAGAGGAGAACTCAGGGGAACAGATCCGAGGGCGGCAGGAAGGAGCTGCTGGGAGAAGGCCCCGGGCTGCCAGGAGCCGATGCGGGGGAGGCGGCTGGCCAGCTTGTCACCCAAACCCTCAGCCCCCGTTGCGGCCCACAATGAGATGTTTCGAGCCTAAAAAGGCAAACGCTGTGAGTCAGTTGTTGCCTTGCTTCCTGTCCTCGGCTTGCCAAATTCCTGCCAAATTCCTTCTCCTCCTCTCCCTTGCCCCCTCATTCTCTTCCCTCAGCTACCTCCCAAATCAAACTCCTGAGCTTGTCTCAAAGTCCCCTCAGCTCAACAGACTGACTCTTTGTTCCCGTGAGGAGCTCTCTGGAACCTTCTGACACAGTGCCAGGGACACCTAGGGAACCAAACTTGACAGGAAAGCCTTGGGGTTCGCAAGGTCGTGACCCGGAGGCTGCTCCCTCTCTCCTTTCTTTAACCCCTGCCCCCACCCCTGCCAGTGAGGCCTCTTTGCACTCATGTTCCTCACGCACCCGCTTCAGGACAACTTGGGCAGGGCTTGAAGGGACGCCTGCCCGTCAAGCTGCCACCTGGGAGGGGAAGACCAGAGGTAAGCTGAGAGGTGACAGGAAATCTCACCTGCCTGAGGTGGCTGAGGTTTTGGGGTTCCCTCAGAGGATGGCAAAAGGGGAGCCTGGAAGCCTGCCTCCTTCACACCCACACCAGCTGCCTGACACTGAGCAAGTTACTTAGACTCTCACTTTCCTCATGTGAAAGACGGGAAGTATAGCGTTGCTTCATGGGGAGGCTGAGGGGATAAAGTGGGGTAAAAAGTGGTGCCCGGTGTAGGATGCCAAGTAAATGCTGCACGCGAGCTAAATATTAACTCGAATCCTTCTCTTCTGCCCATGTACATGAGTTGTGCCCAATAAAGTCACTGCTGAACCGCTGACCTGTTCCAGAGGGGGCTATGGACCCCAACTATGGCCAAGAGTTCTCTAACTTGTAAGCCCAGCGATTCCTAACTCACCACCTCAGATCCTTCTCTGTGGGTTCTTTCTTGTTTTCCTTGAAGGCTTGGCATGGTCCAGCCAGGCTGCTGTGCCCTCTGCCAGGGCCTCAGTCCCGGGTGCTGCTGGCCCTTCTGGTCCCATCATGCAAAGGGGTTGATAAGCAGACCAGGGCCCAGATTACAGCCCTCCAAGCCTCCTCTGGCTCAGCTGTCTCTTCGTTGGGCCCTCCAGCAGTGACCTTTCCCTTCGATTCTAGAGGCCATTCTGGTGACTATGGTCAGCTGGGGGAGGGTGACAGCTCCCTCTGTCCTCCCACCTGGGGCTGGGGCCAGAACCAGCCTTGACAGGGCAGTGAGTGGACCGAGGAGACGGTGCCCCAGGTTCTGCTCACTACTACAGGACCAGTGTTGCCCACTGGGGTTTCCTCTTGGGCAAAATGAAGAGGACGAGAAAGATGGCCGTGAGGATTTTTACAAAGACTGGGATTCCAGGGTGCAGCTTCCCAGAATTTGGTGTTTAGGCAATGCTCAAATCTCCTGAGGTCTCAGAGCGCCCTCTAGGGGCAGGAGGCTCGTTCCTTGGTTCATATGTTTGTTCACTCATTTTCTCTTTCATTCAGCAAGCTAGGACTGAGTGCCTCCTCTGGGCCAGGCCCACAGATACGATCCCAACTCAAGGCCGGCCCTCAGAGGCCCGAGAACTAACACCTAGGAAAACTAAAGACACATGGAGGTCGTCAGGTGCATCCCAGAAACCATGCTTCTGGTTAGCAGTCCTCTCTCTCCCATGCCTTCTCCAGCACCCTCTAACCTGCTGGGGGAGGGGCCCCCAGACTCACTGCTCACAGCCCAGACCAAGAACTTCTTAAAAGCAGGGCAGAGCCCCTTGTGCTCGTGGCACTCCTTAAAGTCAGCTGGAAGCACTGGATGGCACCTACCCAAATGGACCCACCGGTGGAAGCAGAATTCTTGTGATTTGGGGAGGGGCTAGGAGGCTGAGGAAATGAAGTGACCCAGGCCTTCAGTAAACATTCCCTATTCTCGTGGCCCTCACTGCCTGGGACTGCAAGATGATTCAAGAGCCATTTCAGGGTGCCCCCAGGTGAAATGGCCTGCAGGTGTGCAGCTGTGGTCCAGCTCCAGAGGCACCCATTATCCCAGCCTGACCCAAGGAAGGTGGTGGGGGGGGGCTGCCTCAGCCCGAGGCTGCTGGGAGAATGACTCATGGGCCAGGAGTCAGGACTGACTCACAAGGAAGGAGCCAACTAACTAGTGCTCTGTTCCAACTTCAACAATGGTTCTTTTAAACCCTGTCACCTAGCCAAGCCTGTTCCTGACCTCTTCCAAAGAGCAAGCCTCCAGGCAGGAGGTGTGGGAGCAGGGGGAGGCCAAAGGTGGACTTGGAAATGGACTGAGAGTCCCTGTCCCTCTCTCAGGACCGGGGAGGGAATGCATGCCTGCTCCTTAAGGGCTGCAGAGCAGCACAGAGAATGTGGCCAGCCCCAGGATGCTGTGCAACCGTGCGTGTGGTTAGTGCGCCCCCTCGTGGGAGTCTAATGCATCCGCGGCAGCCCTTGGCCCTCACCCAGCCCTGCTCTTCTCTGGGACGCTGGGGTCAAAGCCTGCTCAGATGAAGCAGCAGGTGTGTGTGCCTGGGCGGGCGGGTATGTGAGTGGGTGTGGGTGTGGCTTCCTTCACTGCTTTGCCCATGACTGCATGAGATCATTCGGCTGATGCCCCCAGTCGAACTCCAGTGCCTGGAATGAAAACACATAGAGGCTCTGGGCCTCAGTTTCCCCACTCGTGTTTCAAAAATCTTGGAGCCAGTGATTGCTAAGACCCCTTCCAGGTGCAACCGTAGAGCTGTAAGGCTCCATGATTCCAGACTGAGGAGCTGAAGAGGCAGGGAAGGTCCCAAATCCTTGGAAAATGCTTCCCCGAGTCAGCAGTGGAAACAAAGCCAAACTACTATTTCTTTCCTTGCTGCTCGCATCCAGGAGCCCAGGTCAGAGAGGACACGCATGGAATGAGAACAGCTGCCCCTGAGAATGAACCAGAGGACACTGCCCCTGTCCCTCCCCACCCACTCCCAGAGAGCTCATGACTCACTGGACTGGAATTTTCTTCTGCAGCTCTGGTATTTGTTGGGAGTTACAGACTGGAAGCTATTGGCCCGGAGCAGAGCTGTGGTGGAAAAAAGAAAGGGGCAGGGGAGATGGGGAGGGAGGGAGACTGTTAAACTCGCAGAATAACCACAGGGTTTTTCTCTTGTGACACATTTTGTAGACCAATAATTATAACCTACCTTTCTCAGACCATATCTCCCTGTCCCTACGACGCACACCTCCAGCTTTTCATTCAGTCATTCATCGAATATGTATTGAGACCCTGCTATGCGACAGGTACTGCCATCATTCAGAAAATGCCTCAGATTATGAGCCATCATTCTAAGTCACCCGCAATTAACATACGTGTGTACCTGTTTGTGTGCACACATGCATGCCCGTGTACATACATGCATTTGCGCACACGCTTGCTTGTTAACAGAGCAGTTCTTCAAAGCTGGAGTCTCACATCAATGTCCCATTTATGTAGTAAAGAAACCGGAGTTGCGCTCATTGAAGCCTGCCTGGAAGCTGCGGAGTGTTCTACCTCCTCACCCCCTTCCCTTCCAGAGCCTTCCAGACCCTTTGGGAACCAGGATTCTGTGGACTGTGTACTCGAGACCCTCCACCCAGCTGGGTCTTGAGAATTAGCTGAGCAATACGAACATCCCAAGACATCCCATGGTCTTGGCCATTTAGGGTGTGAGAAATGCAGATGTACCCCCTTCCTACACTGGGCCCTCAGATTTGGCCTCAGGCTCCGGGTCCCTGTGGTGGGACCTTCATACTGGAGACGTAGAATGGGGTGCCACACGTACACCCGAATGCACACCCTGGTGGGACTGGGTGGCACGGAAGGAAAGGACGCTCCGAGAGTGATGTACGTGTGGGAGAATGGCATAGGGAAGGTTTGGAGCCAAAGCCCAGCTCTCTGTCTCCCTCCGCCCTGCCCCCATCTCGGGAGGAAGGCCTAAGTCCCACGTCCTGCCAGGGCTCAGAGCTGGGTGTCGGTGCTCGTCAGCCGGGCTGCGAGGTGCTGGCGGCAGCCACTTCCGGGGCTTCTTTTCCTGGGGACGAGATCCTCCAGCTCCTTAGACCCCTGGCTCCCCTCCTTCCCTGACTCCACCTGGAGACAATTTGAGCCCGTTCTCTCCGGTAGCTTCCCTGTCCCACAGGCCTGCTGTCATATCAAGCCCTGCCGTGTGGACAGGTGCAGCGAGCGGCCTCCGCATCTCACATCCTACGGATCTGGCCCGCTCCCCCCGCAGGCGCAGGTCGGGGTTGGCCAGGCCGGACAGTGCGTGTCAGGGGCGAGCAGGACGCCAGGGCAGCCACGTCCCGCTGACCTGCGCTGTCCTTTCAGTCACCGAGTGGCAAAATTTCTCAAGAAACGCAGAAGACTGCTTAAAGCTCTTGTTGCTTCTCCTCGGCTTTTCTCTTTGTGGAATGGAACTTACTAGAAGTAGCTACAATTCACAAGCGATTTTTCCATCCCTGGTGTTTACAGGACGCACGTGCACACACTCCCAAAGGGTTTGGGAGGCTCTGGGAGGGAAGGGGGAGAAGAGGTAGAACTTTCTGCAGCTTCCAGGCTTTGGTGAGAGCAGCTCTGGTTTCTCTACCACATGCACACCTATTTTGCCACAGCAGGAACAGCAGGGCAGGTGGCAATGGTTTGATCCAGTTGTTTTGAGCAGCACAAAGCAAGCCTGGTTCCCTTCTTTTCAGCTTATATTTTATTTTTTATTATTTTTTTAATGTTTTATTTTATTTTTGAGAGGGAGGGAGAGAGGGAGAGAGAGAGGCAGACAGAGAGGGAGACAGGATCGGAAGCAGGCTCTTCACTGACAGCAGAGGCTGATTCGGGGCTCAAACTCACAAACGGTGAGATCATGACCAGAGGCAGAGTCAGACGCTTAACCAACTGAGCCACCCAGGCGCCCCCAGTTTATATTTTATTTATATTTATTTTAAGGGAGCACTTTTGGAGATCTTAGTGCCTGAGTTGCTACAAAAGGAATAAGGGTAAGTATTTTGTCATATGGTGTGAATGATATCATTTTATTGTTACAAACGGGTAGTATCTTCCATAGGTCGCTGGGCCATCCTGTCGTCAAATTATTGTCAGAAAAAAATGGATAAATACCAACTTTTCTAAGCCAGAATAATTTGGGGCAGTCTGCCCCCCCCACCCCCAGTTCCAATTAGCTCATGCCCAAAACCTAATACACTTGATTGATTCATTTAATTGTCTAGGTGTGCATTTTACAACACACTTATGCAGACAGGCTCTCTCGAGCTGCTCCTCTGTGATTCCCCAACGTGTAGGTCGTGGCCCTCCTGCATGGGAGCAGCTGGGGCACTTACACAAAATGCAGACACTTGGCTCTACTCCACTGAATCTGAATCTCTTGATTCACTGAGATCCACTGAATCTGAATCTCTTGAAGGTGGTGACCTAGGTATCTGCCTTTCAAACAAGATTTTTAAGAACCACTGAACTAGGTGTCTTAGGGGAACGTTACTGCACATTTTCCACTGAACCTCGATAACACAGGGCTTACATTTTTTTTTAATGTTTTATTTTTTATTTTTGAGAGAGAGAGGCAGAACATGAACAGGGAGGGGCAGAGAGAGACACACACACGCACAGAATCTGAAGCAGGCTCCAGGCTCTGAGCTATCAGCACAGAGCCCGACGCGGCACTCGAACTCACAAACCGCAAGATCATGACCTGAGCTGAAGTCAGATGCTTAACCGACTGAGCCACCCAGGCTTAAATTCTATATCAGGCCATCATCTTGGTCAGGCTCTATGCTGAAGAACTTTGAAGATACAATAGGTTCCTTGATGAGCCAAGGTAGTCCCAGAAGTCTTCCTCTAAATTGTGGTAAAATATATGTAACATAAAGTTACCACTTTAACCATTTTAAAGTCTACAGCTCAGGGGCCTTAGGGACATTCACAGTGTGTAACCATCGTCACCATCCATTTCCAGAACTTTTTCTACATCCCAAACTGACACTCATTAAGCTGTCACTCCCCACACTCCTATCCGCCCCACCCCCTTCAGTCATCACCATTCTGCTTTCTCTCTCTATGAATCCGGCTATTCTAGGGACCTCGTAGAAGTGGAATCATACAATGTTTGTCCTTTTGAGTCTGGCTTAGGTTCATCCATGTGGCAGCGTGTCAGAATTTCATTCCTTTTTAACACTGAGTAACATTCCATTATATGAATATCACACACTTTGTTTATCTGGTCACCTGTTGTTGAATTTGGGGGCATTTCCCCCTTTGGCAATTGTAAATAACGCCGATGGGCATAGGTGTGCAAACCAGGAGTCTTCTTAAAGCAGTATCTCGGCTTTATTTGGCACTCCCTCAGCTCAGCTCTGAGCCATTTATCCAAGGGAACATTGTGATTCATGAAGCTCCATTAACATGCACAACATAACAACCCTACATTATCTCGCAAAATAACAGACTCACCATAACAAGCAACACAAAACACCACACTTCGATGGTACCAGAGACCTTAACCTTACAATGTGGTCTGCCTAGCAACGATCAAAAACATGATGCATGGAGGCGAAATCAATAAAAGATTGCCTGGACGTCATGCCGTCTATCCACTTCTCTGTCTACTCTGTATTTCATTCTGGAATCAAACTAGACTGTCAGAAACAAAATGCGTTGGCCACACTGCCTTGTTGACTTGATGCAGCCCTGTCCCCTTGGAAGAAGTGTTCCTGCTGAGCCATGTTTTGCCACCATGCCCTCACCTGCCAGCCAGGGCTGTTGCACGAGACAGCCTCGCTCAAGACAGGGACTCCTGAATCCCTCGATGCCATCTATTTAACATGAGCTGGGGGCGCCTGGGTGGCGCAGTCGGTTAAGCGTCCGACTTCAGCCAGGTCACGATCTCGCGGTCCATGAGTTCGAGCCCCGCATCAGGCTCTGGGCTGATGGCTCGGAGCCTGGAGCCTGTTTCCGATTCTGTGTCTCCCTCTCTCTCTGCCCCTCCCCCGTTCATGCTCTGTCTCTCTCTGTCCCAAAAATAAATAAACGTTGAAAAAAAAAAAAAATAACATGAGCTGGACAATTTCTACAGAGTGAAGCACTAGGAAAAGTGGTACCAGATCTGAAACGTGCTACAAGCCAATACATTGTTTTGAATTATGAATATTATTATGAATAATAATTGTGTTTCCTTTCAAACTCTGGCTGCCAGAAAACTCAGAATCAAATTCATGATCCCACTAGAGCAACCGTTTAGGACTACAGCCTGCCTCGCTGGAGTCTCTAACTCCTAAACTGGTTTTGTTAACCTTGACCTTGGGGATTTATCTTTTATAGAGAGTGACATGTAATTTTGTATTATGTCTTTTTTATAACTTGCCTAAAATCCCCTGGCAACTGAGGAGAGAGGAGAAAATGGAGGGAGGGGATGAAAGGCAGGCAGGCTTCATGTCTATAAAGGAGGAGGCCGGAGCCCAGGGAGAGGAGACAGAGGCCACACATAACCAGACAGAGGCAGTCTGCACTCAGCTGGGCACAGCACAGCTAGCACTCTGTCCCCTGCATATGCTTAGCCTTTTGGACGGCACCACAGTGGTTTTTAACAAATATGTCCTGATGACAATTTGTCTTATTTTATTTAAAAAAAACTTTTAAAAACTTAAAAGTTTTTTTTAAATGTTTATTTTGGGGGGGGGGGAGAGAGAGGGAGAGAGAGAGAGAGAGAGGGAGAGAGAGAGAGAGACCGAGCATAAGTGGGGGAGGGGCAGAGAGAGAGAAGGAGACACAGAATCTGAAGCAGGCTCCAGGTTCTGAGCTGTCAGCCCGGAGTCGGACGCAGGGCTTGAACTCACAAACTGAGAGATCACGACCTGAGCTGAAGTTGGACACTTAACCCACTGAGCCACCCAGGCGCCCCAATGTGCCCTTTTTTAAAAAGGCTCACAGGGGAGGGTAAATCCAGAACTTCCAGGAGGCTGGCCACAGCTCGGGTTTTCCTATGAAACCAAGCCTTGGGAGATTGTTTCTCGGTCCAGGCGGAAGTTCTGCTCTCGGCCACCAGAGGGGTGTGCAGGACAAGCTGAGTACCCGCTCTCCCAGGGCAGTGAAGCTGTTGGTGCCTCAGGTGGGAAGTTTCTGTGAGCCTGCTTCTTCCCAGCCCCAAGGTCACAAGTTACTGTTGACTGAATCAAAACATTCAATTCAAGGCCACCTTTATTAACACAAGCTGGGCTGCTAAAGGCAACGACTTTTTAGGGTGCGGAGGGCCCCAGCACGGAGCCACACCGATTACCAGCCGTGAGACCTAGGGAAAACACAGTGTGTTTGCTCACAGGTAAAATGGTGAGCTTACTGACCCCAGCGGGGTCGTCCTGAGAATGCCATGGGGCCATCCATGTTTGGGAAAACCAAACAGGTACTTAGTGAGAGTGTATTTATTCCTGTGCAGGTCAAGTTTTAGTGCATGCCACGTGTCCCAAGCACGGCTGATGGCCCTGTGCTGTCCCCAGGGGGCCCCAGGGAAGCTGTGCCACCCAGATGGCTGTGGTCCATGCACTGAGCCACATCTTTCTCTAGTGGGGCTATGGAACGCCCTAAAGAGATATCAAAGAGGAAACTGCTCCAGGCGAGAGGGTGCCGGGGCCCCCCTTATCTCTGCCAGCCCGGGACACACCGCAGCCAGTCAGTCAGGCCCCTCTGCCATACACCCCACTTGAGATTCCAAAGCTTCTTATGGAGCAAGAGGCTGGGCCTGGGTCCAGTCCCCTCACCCCCACATATACCCTGGCCTCACTGCCTCTGAGCCTGAGGGCTGGGCCTACTGGCCCCTCATTCTCCGTGAGGAAACAGAGGCCGGGGTGGGGGGGTCTCTGCTCCCTCCCTGTGCCCCAGGATCAAGCAAGCCTGGCTCCCACCCAGGCGGGCTGTCTGCTCACCTTGCACAGCTTGGGGCTCCTCAGGGCGGTGTGGAGAGACTTCTCTGGTCGGGGCCTCCCTCAGGGAGCTGTGCCTGGTGAGGGGCTGCGGTAGGGGTGGGGGCTCTGGCCGCCGGGGCCTTTCCTCACGGGGCTCTGCACTGGAGGCCTCGCTGCCACTGCAGTCTGGCTCTGCCTCAGAGCTGGAGGAACAAGGGGAGACAGTGGGTAAGCGGAGGGCCCAATAGTTCACCCCCCAGGCCCACTGCATGTCCTGCCCATCAGTGCGGCCAACAGACCACGGGGCTCTGGGGGAAGACAGTGGTGTAGTTACCTCAGGCGTGGTTATCGCCCCCCGTCCCACCTTCATATGAAGTCCTAACCCCCTCATGCCTCAGAATGTGACTGCATGTAGATATAGGGTCTATAAAGAGGCAATTGAGTTCAAATGAGGTCATTAGGGTGGACCCTCATCCACTATGACTGATGTCCTTCAAGAAGAGATTTGGACACAGGCATAGATGGGAAACACCATGTGCACATGAAGCCAGCCGTCCTCAAACTGAGGAGAGGGCCCTGGAACAGACCATTCCCCCTCACGGCTCTCAGAAGGAACCAACAAGCCTGCCAACGCATTGATCTTGGATCTCCGGCGTCCAGAACTACGAGAGAGTACATCTCTGTTGTTTAAGCCGCCCTGGCTGTGGTACTTTCTGGGGCCCTAGCCAACAAATATAAGCACGGACCCAAGCAGGACGAAGCCCAGCAAATATATGCCGATGTGCTTGCACGAAGGTGGGTCCTCCTACGTTCAGGATCCTTGAGCAGGATTCCTTGGCTCTCCGGGGTAAGATGAGCTTATCATTTAGGACCTGGGCCTAAACCTTCAGGCATTTCAATGCTGCTTGTGTCCTGTGGGAATTGATGGGGGAAAGAGAGGACTAGTGGGTTGGAGGGAGAGTATTTTTCTGGGTCTTGAATGACTGGCAGGAATTCAAGAGGCAGAAAAGTAGAAGCAGGGTATCCTTAGGCAGCAGGGATAGCAAAAACACAGTCCCTACCCCCCATCCCCGCCCTCGCCTGGGGCTTGGGGGAGGCACAAACCTGTAGGGCTGTGAATTTAATGACCACTTGTATTTATGTATATAAGTCCAGCCTGTGTGTGTCCCTTGGGGCGCTGCTCCTTCTCCATCTGTGTGCCCTGGTGGACTCTCCAACCATCCTGGTGCCCAAGCATGCCGGTCATGGCAGCTCAGTGCTCTTCACAGATTAGTCCCAGAGGTGCAATGCAAAGTGAACCGTACCCATTGGAGGTCTACCTTGAGATCTTGGAACATGGGCATGGACGGATGGATGTGGGCTGAGGCCCTCAGCAGCTGAGAGTTCCACATGCGGATACAGCCTCTCTGGGGATGGTTGTAAATCCGCTGTAAGAGGGGCAGCAGTGGAGAGTGGTTGTTTGAGTTTCTGGTTCCAACCTTGCCTGGAGAGAGAACTACCTTTGGACTTCCCAGTTAAAGGAACCGAAGTATTTGCTTTGTTAATTAGGCTGGGCTGAGTTGGGTTTCTGCCTCTTACGATGGACATGGTCCAGTCTAATTGAGGCCCAGAAGGCTGTGAGAACTGGGGCAGGACCTTCCTTCTCACCTCAGTGATCACCCAGGGCACTCCAAGGCAGTAGCCCTCATGCAGACATGTGTCACAATCACCTGTGGGACTTACTAAAATGTATCTTCCTTTCAAGAGTCAGAAGACACCAGACCTCATGAATAGTTATCTACACTGCAGTATCCATTTTCTCTCCTCACATCCCTCCCACATCTACTCCAATCAGGTTTCTGATCCTCTTGTTGGAAAATCCAGAGGTCAATTCTCCATTCTCGTCCGAAACAGTGAGCCACCCCCTCCTTTTCGAAACTTCTCCTTTCTCCTCTCAGCTTCCACAACGCAGCCTCTGTTAGTTTCTCTTCTTCCTGTGGGTTTTGCCAGCCCCTTCTCTGCTTGCCCAGTGATTGTTCAAATGTCCTGGGGCTCTCCTCCAGGCTCAGCTCTTCTTTATCTGTGAGAAGATATTCTTACTCCACAGGTAACTCATCGGCATCCTTGGTTTCATAGGCTCCATATGCCACTGGCCCCGAAATCATGGTCTTCAGCCCTGCCTCCCAGACACTTCTCTGTTCTCCTGCTTGCTTGATATCTGCATGAAGACTTCTGATAGACATCTCAACCCCCCCACTCCCCGACCAGGTCCAAAACAGAACTCTTTTCTCCACAAACCTGCATCTTCCCTGATATCTTCTCCTCCTCAAGGCTACTCTAGAAACAATGGCACCTTTCATCCAGTCCCTCAGATCAAAGTCTGGGAGCCACCCTTCAACTCTCTCTTACCCTCACATTCAGTCCATCAGCATATCTTCTCCTCTGCTCCTGACTGTGGCCCAAGTTTCTCATCTCCTACTGGAGCCACAGGCTCCCACCTGGCCTCCCTACATCTGCTCCTACCTATCTCTGCTCCATGCATTTTCCATACCAAGGCCTGCTGATCTTTGGATATTGGAAATAAGATGTCTCTTTCTGACTTAAGAGTTACCTAATGGCTTTCAATTAGACCTAGAATAAAATTTGAACTCCGTGCCCTGTCTTACTAAACCTTACTCCTGCCTTACTTTCGGGTATCGTACTCTCCTTCCCCTCATTGTATGCCAGCCACATCAGAAGACACTGGGCCACACTCACCCAGAGGTCTATGTGCTAGCGTCCCACTGCTTGGATGCCACTTCTCTCAGTCTTCACATGGTGGTCCCTTCTTGTCAACAATTCTCAGCTTGAATGTCACCTCCTCATGGAGGCTGTGGTAGATTGTTGGCAAAAAACAGTTGCAATCATCCCCCTCCTGGATCCACACCCTTTTTCAATGGACCTTTGTAGCTCCTCCCATAATGGTGGAGCCAATTTCCCTACCCCTTGAATCCTGGCTGGCCTTGTGACTTGCTGTGGCCATTCTAATGTGATAGGGGTAGCCAAGACCTCAAGAGACTTTGCACATTCTGCTTTCTCATGGGACAATGTGAATAAGCTTGGGCTGCCTGTTGGAGGAGGAAAGACCCATGGCCAACAGTCCCCTGGAACCCCAGCCGACAGTTAGCCATGCTCCAGAAGCAAGTGGGACCCTGCTGGCCCAAATTCACAAGGGAGCTCACTGAGACCAGAAGAACTGCAGGGCTGAGCCTGCTAGCCTACAAAATCCTAAGTGTAATAAACAGTGGTTGTTTGACGCCCCAACCTTTGGAGTGTTTCGTTACTCAGCATGATTGTGAGAATAGATAACTGATAGAAGAGACCTTTTCTGGCCACCTATTCTAAAGTAGCTGACAAGTCACTTTCTGTCATACATTCTTATTTTATCCTTCTAGCAGGAACATATGAGATATTTTTCCTGTTAACTATTTGCTTGTTTGCTGGCTGTCTACCCAATTTGAAAGAAAGCCCTGTGAGAGCAAGGCCTTTGTCTTATGTTGGTGACTGCTATGCCCTCAGAGTCTAGAACATAATTAACAATCAGTACATATTGCTGGTTGACCTCCTGAATGAATTCAGCATCCCGGGGAGGCCTGGAGTCTGCACTCCTAACGACCACTCTGCGTGGTTCTGGTATTGGTGGGAAGGATGGCATTCTGAGAAATACGCCTCTAGGGCAGCAGAGATTCACTTCTCATGCCTCTTCCAGTCCCCAGCCTAGCCTCCCCATCACCATGCATTGCCATCTTACATTTTACTGTGACGGTGACACCCACTCGGCACCCCGTGATGCAGCCATCATGACAATTGCCTTTTGGAGAGAAGACAGTGGGGCCAGAGCCTGTCCCTTCTCTGAGAAAATAGCAACTGCTAACACTTAACAGTGCTTATGATGTGCCAGGCATTGTTCCATACACTTTCCATATATTAATTGTTAGATTCTTACAACTGTCCATGAGACAGGTGTTATAATTGTCCCCATTTTAGGGATGAGCACATAGAGGTATAGAGAGGCCACACTGCCAGTGAATGGAGAGAAGGCCAGCCTCTAAATGCTGTCCTCCTTGTCCAGTCCCTCTTCTGTCCCCAGCCTGCAGCAGCCTGAGCATACCTGCTGTCATCACTGTTGACCAGCACACACACAGCCATCATGTCTTGTCCAACTACGTCCTCCCCAGGGCTGATCCTCACTGAGGTCCACTCAGAAGGCAGGAGAGAGATGGCTCCACCTTCCACATCACTGGGCTCTGGCTCCAGAACACTCTTGGGCTTCTTGGGGGAGGTTGGCTCATCTGCTGGGAGGAGAAGAGGGTCTAGAGAGATGGCGTGAATAAACAGGCCCTGCAGGGTACCTGCTCCCCCGTCCAGAAGCTTGGGAACCCTGCTGGGGGCAGGGGGTAGGCAGGGCAGCAGGACTTACGTCTACTTGGACACTCCAAGACTGACCTTCTTGTCCTCTGTACCATCGTGGGATTCCCACCACTTAGCCCAGCAGGTGCCCCGGCATTTAGAGCACACCTTTGTGTATAGGGCATGAATGCACATATCTATCTCGCTTAATCCCACAGGAGGGTCCTGAAATGTTTGAAGGGCCCACCTCAGGCCCACCAGCCTCTGGACTGCTATTGTCAAAATCACAGTGTCCAACATGCTGCTGATCCCAGTGGCAACTTCTTAATTCTTGTCTACACGTATCAGCAGCATTTGACGCAGCAAATCATTCCCTCCTTCTAGAAGCAGCTCTCCTCTCAGCTTTCAGGATAGCACAGCCTCATTCCCTTCCCCTCACTGGCTGTCTCTTTCTCTCCTTGTTTCTGTGCTAGTTCCACCTTTTCCCCCTGACCTGGGGGATACTGGAAGGCTCCAGGGCTGTTTTTGAATCTCTTCTTTTACCTACACTCATGCCAGTGATAATCTCATCTGGTCTCCTGGGTTCAAATAACCCCAGATAACAATGACTCATACCTCCATTTATATTTCCAGCCTAGTCATTTCCCCTGAATCTAGACTTATATATCCCACTGCTTACTTGGCACCTCCAAGTGGATGTCTAGCAGACACATCAAGCTCATGTCCAAGTGGAGCTCTTCATCCCCACTGCTCCCCAGTCCTGCTTTCCCCCACAGCCCTCCCCATCTCGGTAGATGGCAACCTTGGCCTTCCAGCTGCTCAAGTCAAATGTTTTCGTGGCATCCTTGACGTCTCTTGTTCTTTCATTCTTCACTCAAGCTATCAGTGAATCCGGTTGGCTCTACCTTCAAAATATGTCAGGAATCCAGTCATCCATCACCACCTCCTCTGCTACCACCCTGGCCCTAGCCACCATTATCTCTTGCCTGGATTATAGAAACAGCCTCTGCAGGTCTCCCCACTTTCCCTCTCATCATGCACCCCCTTCAGTTTTCTTAAAACAGCCACCCAACTCACTGTTAAATATAAGATCATGCTCCCCTGTTCAATACCCTCCAGTGGACCCTGTGACCTCACCTCCCACTACTGCCCCACTGTCTCTGCTCTGACCATGTCCCCCCATCTTGGCCCCTTGCACCGATCTTGCCTCTTCCCAGGAGATGCTGTCCCTGGACAGCTTCTTGCAAGGCTTGCTCACTTACTGCTTCAAGTCTTTGGTCAGATGGCACCTTCTCCATGAGGCCTACCCTGTCATCCTATTTTAACTGCAAACATACCCTGAGCGTTCTCCATTCCTCTTTATTTTTATTCGCAACACGTCTCACCTTCTAATGATCTCTACAACTTTCTCATTCATTTTGCTTTATTATCTCTCTCTCATGACTAGAATATAGGCAGTGATCTTTGTCTGTTTGGTTTCTTGCTAGAATTGTAGCTGGTAAGGAGTAGATGCTCGATGAATACCTGTTGAATGATCAGTGAACCAATGACCAAAACAGGCAGCCTGAGGCCCAGCTCCATCTTGGCCATGAACTAGCTGGGCAACCCCTTCTCTGGTCTCAGTGGGGCATATGTGCTTTCTCCTTTCTAAGGCCGACACCGCACTTGCACTTGGCTTCCTCCCCGCCCACCCCCTCCAGCGGTCATTACCTTCTCTTCCCTGTGTCCCAGACTTCTGTCTCGATTGGACCTTTTCCATCAGTATTTGCATGTGCTGGAGCCTCTCCCATTTTAAGAAAACTATTTTTAACCCAATTCCCATGCCCGCCCCCCCTTGCCAACTCTTCTTCCTCTTCTCCCTTTCCAGCCAATCTTGGGAGAATTGGCTACACTCGCTTCTCCACTTGTTCACCTACTATCACCCAGCTTCTCAATCCCTGTAATCCTGCCCATGCCTCTGCCACTTCCCAAACTGCTTCAAAGTCCCCCCATGCCCTCCTTAGTGCTAAGTCCAATTCACAAGGCTTTGGGGTCCTCCTGCAGCCGCTGCCGCCCTCACCCCTCCCTGCTCTGGGGACACGTTCTCTCACTGCCTCCCTGGCTGCATCCAACCCCTAAGTGCTAGGTTCTTCATGCCTCCACCTGGGAGAGGTGAGCTACTCCATAACTGTGTTTACCATCTGTGAAGATAACTCAACACATTTTTTATTTTTATGTTTTGAAATATTATATAGGCCAATCAAAAACACGTGTGCAGGCAGATGCGGTCAGTGGGTTGTCAGTTGGCCACTCCTTGCATATGGACACGCTTGCCTGTGCACACACTTGGGCACACCTCTGCACAGGTGTGGCCGTGGATGGGAGGCACGGGGGGAGTAGGGGTGAAATTGGATGCTTGGCTGTATCGTAGTAGCAGCAGTAATAATAGAGGCAGCTTACTTTTACTGAGCACTTTTATGGAGAACTATTTAAGTGTTTAACATGTATCAAGTCTATTAAACTTCACAGAGCCCTCTAAGACAAGTATTATTATCCCCATTTTGCTGCTGAAAAAAAAAGCAGGTGCACAGAGAGGTTAAGACACCGGCACATGGTCATGTATTTCATCAGAGGACAGGGACTAGTCTGCATGGCTGTGAGCAGAACAGAACCATGGACGCCAATGTGCGTGACCTTTATTCTGGGAGTTTGGGCTGGAGTATGTTCCCAGTTTTTTTCCCCTTCCCCACAACAGAGCCATGCTTTGTCCTGTGATTTTGCGGCCCTTCCTACTAGGGCAGGTAGGTGTGCTTCCCTGTCCAACTGACATGAGGCTTGGCTGGGACACTTGCTTTGGCCAGTGCAAATGAGCAGATGTGACGTGAGCAGTGGCTTCAAATGGCCTTGCTGTTTGGCTAGCCCACTCACATTCTTGCTAGTTTGCCATGAGAAGAGTTTGTCCCAGATGGCCGCTGCCCCTTCGGCTTAGGTCCCTGGCTGTGGGCACGTGAAACGAGCCTGGAGCCTGGCCCGACCAATCCCATGGGAGCTCAGGCCACCCTTAAACCTGCAGCCTGAAGCAGAGCCACTCAGCCAACCCACAGACCTGTGAGCAGGAAAAATAGATGTTACAAGCCCTTGAGATTTGGAAGTCTTGTTACGCAGAATTACCGTAGCAGAGACCTGACTGTCTACCTGGTTTCTATCTGAGTAGAGGTGCGTGTGCCAGAGCCAGAACCACAAATATTGTGGTTGACTATACATAGTCAACGGGTGCTACTTGGCCACCTCTGATCCAGACCTGTGCTCGGGGTTTGGAAGCCAATCGGCCACGCTCTCTCTGCCTTCAAGGTTCTTTTCCTGTCCCACAGGGGAGATAAGGCATATTCATACATAGTTGCATTACCAGGTAGACAGTCTGAGAGCAAGGCGGGACAAGGTGGAAGGGGAGGGAGATCGGACTTCCGTACAATAAACACTGGGTTTAAGGTACCATTTTGCTGGGTTAAGGACAAGTCGGTTCTGATCAGAGAAGAGAGAGGTGGTGCTCCATGGGATGGACGTCTGTGAACAAAAGCAATGTGGGAAAGTATTGCCATCTGCGTGGGAACAGAAAATAACCCTGTTTGGCTGGAGGGCAGGAGAGTATATAAAAGAAGCCAGTGGGAATGACTGCATGGACACTGAACCAGAAAGGGCCCTGAATGGCAAAGTGAAGAGTAGATTTCATTCCAAGAGCAACCATTGAAGGGTCGGAAGCTGACTGGTATCACCAGACTGGCCTCAGAGAAAGATCGCTCTAATTACTGAGTGGAAGGTGGACTGGAGGACCCAACAGGAGGGGAGAGGGAGGCTAGGAAAGGGGCTATGATAACCTGGGGGAGAACGAAAGGCTGAGCATGCGCAGCCAGAAAAGAGGGGAGTGAGGTTGCTGAGAGCAGCCTGGGGGGATCAGGTAGCTGCAGGCAGTGGAGGCAAGCTGTGCCAGGCTGTGGTAACATCACCTGGGGGACCAGCCCAGACCTACAAGGAACGCTCCGGGGGTCTGCTTTTCTCCTTCCTCCTTCTAGAGAGTTTTGGCCTGGCCAGCAGGGCTGAGGGGTGGAACGGTGTAAGGCCTTAGGCTAGCTCCCTGAGCTTCTAGAGGGCTGGGGACATGGCTGACTGATGAGTCCTCAGGACAGCAGGGCTAGCATCTCTCACCACAGAGTCCAGATAACAGTGGAGGGGCTGGGAGCACTGGGAGGTGAGGATTTTGAAAAAAGGAAGCTGGAGATTCCTCTGATTACCACCTTATCCAGGTAAAAAGCCCCAAAGGTGGCTTCTGCCCTCCTTCTGCCCTCCTTCTGCCCTCCAAGGCCTGGGCCAAAGGCTCCAGCTGGGTCTCTGGGGTTCAGTGCTATGCCCAGGAGGAGACTGCTTCACTCAAGCTTCTACTTCTAGACCCCTCTCTCATTCCCTGACAACACCCATCTGCATGCACATACCAGTGGTCCTAGCTCGAGCCATCCTGGTACCAGCAATGGAAGTCATCAGCAATGGAAGGCAACAACGAAAGTAACACCAACTTATATTGAGTGCCATTATCAACATCCATCATCTCTAACATCTTGACGACTTGCAAGGATGGTGCTGTCACCTTCACTGCATGAGTGCAAGAATGTGGCACCCAGAAAAGAACTCAGCCAGGGCCCCCCAGTGAGTCAGCTGGATCAGTCGCCACGGGGACACGCAACGGCTGTGTCAGTGGCCAGCCCCAGGTGAGGGTCCAGCTGTGCCCACCTGCTGCCTCCCCCAGGCCTGTCTGCAACTTGTCGTACGTTTTGCCTGAAGTTATGTATTCCCATAGGGAGAATCCAGGACTCCGGGGGGGCTGGAGGCTGCCAAGGAAGGAGGTGCACAGGGTGGGGGGTGAGAATGATCCACCAGCTCCCAGAGCAACTGCACCTGGCCTCTTGGAGGAAAGCAGCTCTGCTCAGAGCTGAGCACTTCAGTCTCCTCCCAGTGCTCCAGCCAGACACCTGCTGCCTGGTGATAGAGGACACTCCAGCAGCAGAGCCAAGCTGTGTCTGTCCTCACACACCACCCCCAGCAGCCAAGTCCCAAGGCCTTTATCTGGCCAGACCCTAGCTACAGTGTCAGGGTGAGGACCCTTGGTTCTGCTGCTGAAATTGTTCCTGTTTTCTCCCCAAGACTGGAGACCCTTCCACGCTCCCCCAGAACCCAGGGAGATAGCAAAGCAACATGTTCTCCTGTGTATTGTTATTAAGTCCATTTTACAGATTAGGAAACTGAGGCTCACAGGCGTTATCTTCTTTGTCCAAAGTCACACAGCTCCTAACTGCCAGAGCTACTTCTGGCTCGGGGCTTGGCAAGACTCCCTCTGCTGTCTTGCGCACTGTTCTCTCTGAAGAACCAAGTTTAAAAAGAGCAACGAAACTAAGTTTATCAGGATCCAGTCAGGAAAACAGAACTCAAGCCAGAAAGTTCAACAGAGGAAAGTTACTACAGGAAACTAATGACGATGGTGTCAGATGAGCCGGAAAGCCAAGTGCAGATCGGGAGACAACCCAGAGACGAGCAATAGCAGGAAGCCACCTGCTGACGGGGCGGTGGGAGGAGACGGTGAGTCCAAAGGCCAGGGCCGCCAGGCAGTAGTGAGTACCACGGGGAAGACACAGTCACTGCCCGGGATGCAGAGAATTGGAGAAATACCCTGGCATCTCCCTTCATCCCGCCCTCC